TTTTTTTTTTTTTTTTAAGATTTTATTTATTTATTTGAGAGAGAGCATGAGAGGAGAGGGTCAGAAGGAGAAGCAGACTCCCCTCTGAGCAGGGAGCCCGATGTGGGACTTGATCCAGGGACTCCGGGATCATGACCTGAGCCGAAGGCAGTCGCTTAACCAACTGAGCCACCCAGGCGCCCCCACAGTCTGCTTTGTACCCTTTAAATGTTTATTACCCAGTTTTGAACTTCAGCCATCATTTTTGCTCGATATATTCTCCCTCTTGTGAATTATTCATTTATTTATTTACTTCCTTTTAGGGGGGTGGGGTGGTGGGAAGGGACAGAGGGGGCGGGAGAGCAAGAATCTTAAGCAGGCTCAATGCCCAGTGCAGAACCTGACACAGGGCTCCATCTCACAACCCTGAGATCACGACCTGAGCTGAATTCAAGAGTCTGACATTCAACCACCTGAGTCAACCAGGCACTCCTCTTGTGAATTCTTTTAAAACTAGTACTGTATTGGATGAGAAAAACAAAAAACAAAAAAAACCTACTACTGCCTAATGATTAAATTGAAAATATAGCTTGTTTAATCATCGAAATGTAGGTAATAGGCTAATATCTGATGTCAGGAAACTTCTTTTTAGTATATACCACAAGTACATATGAATTGTTTAAAATAATGCTATACATATTTGATAAGGGAAAAACAGTTTTTAAAAGGCAAAAATGGGATGATGATATGCAGTTATTTAGTGTTCTAAATCCTAATATTCATTACTTAGCATTTCTCTGAGCTGTAGGGGTATGTGTATTGATCTTATATCCTTAATTTGTAAGACCTTAACCTTTCTTTTCTTTTGGAAGTCTTCCTATTTCCTATCCCTCCACCCCAAAAAAAGAAGATTGTCACCTCTTCCCTTCCTTTGTATGAATTAAGATACTTTTTTCTTTTTTTTTAAGCTTTGGACTAACAACACTAGTACTTGATAGTATGCTTTTTTTTGTTCCCACATATCTATTTTTCCTTATGTTTCTTTCATATTTGCTTGTCTTCTAAGTTTTCAAACTGTATGTCTGACCATATCAGAAGATTTCATTACTCCAGTCTGTTTGGGCTGCTATAACAAAAATGCCATAGACTGGGTGGCTTAAATAACATTTATTTCTGACAGTCCGTGCATGGCAGAAGGGGCAAGGGAGCTCTCTGGGGTCCCTTTTAGAAGGACACTAGTCCCATTCATGATGGTGGGGTCTTTCAAAGGCCCCACTTCCAAATGCCATTACATTGGGGGGTTAGAATTTCAGTATATGAATTGGGGGGTGGGCACAAACATTCAGACCATAACACTCAGGTTCTCTTCCCTTGGAACCAGTTTATGGAATCCTTTGGAGGGAAGAGATTTATTTTAACAGCACTTATGAATATCCTGCTAAGCTTGAGCAGGCTTCTGACTTGTGGTCATTTGCTTAATCTTCACAACAACCCAGGGCATTGGGTAGGTAGGTGGTATTATTTGTTTTTTTATTCCATTTTACAACAGACCCACAGAGGTTCTATAGTTTGCCCAAGGTCATGCAACTAGTAACTGGGTGAGCTGGGATTTAAATTGTGGTGGTCTTTGCCCAATGCATACCCTCTTAATCAGTACTTTTCTTCTCTAATTCAGGCATTCTGTGCCCTGACCTCTTTTTCTTGCTGCTTTTTTTTTCTCCTCATTCTGTCTAATCCTTTGTTGCCAGCCTCTTATAGTTTGTGTTTTCAATTCTGACTTTGTCCTAAAGTTGGTATTTTGTCAGTAGTGAGTTGGAGAGGCTCTTAATGTTATCCAGAAAAAATTGAGGTGAAGTTTTGTGTATGTGTTTTGTATGTATTTGCTCCCCTATTCCACGTGACCAATAGATTTTTTTACGATGTTGTTGTCTCTCGTTTCTGAAAGAAGGATGTTCTTTTATAGTGGTATTGAAGTATAAGGATTAGTGTTCCAGATAAAAACTAGCTTTTATTTCTACACTTTACACTTGGCTATCACGTAGCTCAGGCTTTCATTTTCGGTGGTGTGTTTACATAGCACTCAATAGCGTCCTGTACCAGTGGGCTGTGTACACTTTCTGATCCACTGTTAGTCTTGTTCTTAATTAGAGAACACGATAGCCAGTGATAACTTTGCTTTTTCACTTTCTCATTCTTTTCCCCTTGACTTTTTATTTTGAAAAAGTTCACACATAAAGAAAAGTTGAAAGAATAGTGCAACACTCGCACATCCTTCACCTGCTTCATCTCTTTCCATGTATATACATATTTGGTTAATGTCAAACCGTTTGAAAGTGACTTTCAGATATGACATTTTATCCTTAAGCACTTGGGAATGAATCTCTGAAGAACAAAAGCATTCTCTTACAAATCCATAGAACCACTATCACATCTAAACAAAACCAGTAGTTACATAAAATTATCCATTATTAAACCCGTGTTCAAGTTCCCCAGGTATACCGCAAGTATTTTTTAGCTATTTTTCGCAAACCAGGATCCAGTCAGAATTTATATGTTGCATTTGGTTAAGTCTTTTTAGTCTCTCTAATGACTTTTGAAGTTTAATTTCTTATAGTCATTTTATCTGACTTGGAAAGCTTCCCATGACCTCAGAAAATTTCTGTCTGAAACTTTGTTCATGGGGGAGAGTTGTAAACTTCAGTGCTACCCACTTTATTAGCTTTATATTTTCTTGAGAAGAACTAATAAAAATGGATTCCCAATGTTCTCTTATATTTTCTAATAGTATTTTTAAATCCTCACATTATTCTGTTTGGTTTGAGGTTTTCACTCATATTTTTAAATCCACCTCAAAAGCTTCTGAATCCTATGATTTCTCTCGTTTTTGATTACCATTAGTATAATTGCCTTGATCCTAGTTGAAAGAGCCATGCTAGATCAAATAGAATATGTATTTTTGGTGTTTGACAAATGTCTTCTGATTGCCTTTTGTTTCTTGTTTTAAAATGAATTTCTTTCTTTCTGATCTTTTACAGAGTGAAGTAACTGGCAAACTGTTCATTCAAGGATAACAGAAGGCATTGTATTATATTTTGCCAAATTAAAGCCTTATTTATGTTTTCACCCTTTCTACTTTGTCAGAAACACTGAACAGAGTTTTGTCTTTTCTAATCCTTGTTAGACTACTGATTTAAAGAGAAAAAAAAAGCCAACTCTGTAGACACCTTCAGAGTTTAGTTTTATAATAAAAACTGTTTGAATAATTAGACCTTTACATTCCTGAAGATAAAATAAACATGTAATCTTTTATCTTATTTTGCTCAATAAAATTGTTCAGAAGATCAAAAGTGGTAAAGACAATATAAAATTTAACATTTTAATACTGATGTTGTACACTGTTTTACTTAACATTTTGGGGAGTAACTGCCTCTGACTTCAAGAAAACACTTTTTTGTTGCTAATGTAATCCGTTTTTTGTAATGGCGTCAGCAAATAAAGGGATGCTTATTATTCAAACTTGCTCTAATTTTCATTGTGCTTTAACAGATCTCATTAGCCATACAGAGCAACATAATTTAGAACACAGTTATTAATTGCAACTCTTGGACAAGATAAGATAGGTATTGTTGCTCATACGACTTCTGTAAGGGGAGTTCTGGGTCTTCTGCGTGGCTCCGTGTGGTGTGAACTTTGTCCAGCAGTGCTGTGCACCACAGAAAGGAGGAGGCAAGAATTTAGCATTCAGACCCACTGCTCCAGCTTCAGGTGGAAGAGCTCTGCTTTTACACTTACTGTTCATAACCAGTGATAGGGGACTTTTTAGTGTCCTTGTCAGGCACTGTGTTACACAGTTTGCACATGTTATTTTTTGTTGAAGAAAGTTTTTTTCTTCATTTTATTTTATTTTTATTTTTTTAATTTTATTTTACTATGTTATGTTAATCACCATACATTACATCATTAGTTTTTGATGTAGTGTTCCATGATTCATTGTTTGCGTATAACACCCAGTGCTCCATTCAATACGTGCCCTCTTTAATACCCATCACCAGGCTAACCCATCCCCCCACCCCCCTCCCCCCAAACCCCACAGTGTTTCCCAGAGTCCATAGTCTCTCATGGTTCATTTCCCCCTCCAATTTCCCCCCCTTCATTTTTCCCTTCCTACTATCTTCTTTTTTTTTTTTTTAACATATAATGTATTATTTGTTTCAGGGGTACAGGTCTGTGATTCATCAGTCTTACCCAATTCACAGCGCTCACCATAGCACATACCCTCCCCAGTGTCTATTACCCAGCCACCCCATCCCTCCCACCCCCCACCACTCCAGCAACCCTCAGATTGTTTCCTGAGATTAAGAATTCCTTTTAATTAAATAATTTGATGCAAGCACTGAACCTTACAGATGCTAACTAACCGCTGAAAGCTATCTTGTGCCATTGAGAGTAAAAGTGCCTGTGAGGCCATAGTGTGGTCTCCTTGCTATTTCAGTGATGCTTCTGCTTAAAATAGCTCTTTTCTCTTGGATATCAGTCCTGGCTTGCTTCTTCACCATCTTGAAATCTGTTTGAATGTCCCCTTTCTCATCAGGTCTTTCTTTACCATCCAGTATCCCCCTCTGCCTCCCTATCCACCTACCTATTTTTGTTATAATGTCTATAGCCTCCAGTATATACTTGGTCATACCTCTTCCTCCCACCAGAAAGTAGCTCCGTGAGGGCAGGAATCCTCTCCTCTATTCTTTGCTTTTTCCCCAGCCCTGAGCAAGTGCCTGACACTTGTGCTCAGGTACTGAAATGAATGAATGGATAAAATTCATTTTTGTAGTTTGAGAATTATCTGAAGTGTGGTGCCTTTTCATATCATCCCGTGTACACCAGATAGTATTTCTTTATTTCTTTATTATTTTTTAAAGATTTTATTTATTTGACAGAGAGAGACAGTGAGAGAGGGAACACAAGCAGGGGGAGTGGGAGAGGGAGAAGCAGGTTTCCTGTGGAGTAGGGAGCCCGACGCGGGGCTCGATCCCAGGACCCCGGGATCATGACCTGAGCCGAAGGCAGACGCTTAACGACTGAGCCACCCAGGCGCCCCCACCAGATAGTATTTCTAAAGTATGTAGAGATAAACTGAAGAGGCTGCTCATGGACAGTGAGGACTGGCTGAGGATTTGGACTACCCCAGGCCTTGCTGCTTTCAGCAAACCACTGGAAAACTGATCTGAAGGCCAGATACCATATCATCATCATCATCATCATCATCTCTCAATTTTTTTCCTTGACTATTGTCTATAAAGATACCCATGTCTCTGCCATCTGAAAAAAGCAAACCGAAATCCCACCTTTCTTTTGCCATTCTCTTTCATAGCTTAGTTCCTCAGAAGAAATGTGTAATCGTATTATTTTTCAACCTCTTCGTATGTTTGAATTTTCAAAAAATTAAAATAATTTTTAAATAAGTTAAGAATTCAGTCCAATCTCTTATTGTGTCCCCTCCCTCAACATCCCAACCAAATACACATTCATCTTCTTGCTTCTGATGTGGCAGGGAGTTCACAACATGGCCTATTCCAATTTGGGACCGTTTTATAATTGTCTCTTCCATCCTCAACTGTCCACCTTTCCCCAGTGTGTTATAAGCAGATCTCTGAGAGAGGAAAGGAGCGTCCAGAGAGAGTCCTGTGTCCTCTGTCTCTAGTGACTCCCTACGCCACTACTGGAGCCAGTTGAGGTGGGAAGCCCTAAGAAAATTACTCAGGTGGAGGAGAACCAACAGGAAGGGGAGAATGACCAATGCACAATGTTCACAAAGTCATGCATGTGTTGTAACAAGATCTATTCTAATGGATTTCAGTGTAACAGTGCCAAAAGCTCACTGATGGGGTTTCAGACTCCATGTGGCAATTAATCTGTAATTACAACATGTTGCGTTTTGCTCTTGTGTCTGAGAATATCCACAGTGGTCTGAAATGGATGCTGCTCTGTTTTCCAATGATGTATCTGTGTACAGAGGCCAGATTTTCTTCATACACTTCAACCCAGACAGCACACCACAGCAGATTGCACGCAGAAGCAGGTGGCTTCCATTAGGCCAGATAGTAAAGAAATTTGCAAACATGTAAAGTAATGCCAGTTTTCTCACTACATCCTTTTGGTTGGTTTTATTTTGGAAAATGAAATTACATTATCATGAAAACATGTTCATTATGTTGTTATTTTAAGAAATGAACATTTAAAATTTTTCTTGGTTTCAATTTCTACTGCACTGAATATTACAGAAATAACAAAAAAGCTTTTGAAAGTGTAAAGGATTTCTGAGACCAAATATTTAGAGCTGCTGCTATTAGCGTGTTGTTTTTTTCCCCCAACGCTGGGCAACTCTGTGAGCACTTTCTTACTATATTTTGTTTTATATTTAATTCCTTTATTAATTAAAAATGATAAAAACATTTTTCAGTCTTTTTTTTTGTTTATTTTGTTGCACTTTGCCAACTTCTTGTTCCTAAAATTTATTTTCAATTCTTGTTTTCTAATTCATTTTAGACTGTAAGTTCTCTGTACTTCTTTGCATCCCACAGATTTTGATATGTGGGGATTTTGTTGTCTTTCAGTTCTTAATTTTTAAAAATCGTATTTTAAACATACAGAAAATCATGGAAAATAATGGAAAAAAACCTATGTATCCTCTCAATATCAAATATTAACCTTTTGTCCTACTTGAGGTTTTTTTTAAATAAAACATAAGGTACAGTTTAAATAGCTTGTGTACCCCTCCTTGGTCCCATTTCCCTCCCTCTCCAGAGGTAGCCACTGCACCAAAGGGGATGCTTATCATTTGATTTCATGGTGTTATGCAATTAACATATATAAGTGTATCCAGAAATAATATGAATTTCACGTTTTTGAACTTTATAATCATTCTGCTATTTGATTTGCTCAATATTAGCTTTAAAATTTATACATGGAGATTTTCTTCATTTTTATATGCCACAAGTTACTTGGTATATTCCTCTAAGGGACAATTAATGAAAATTTTATGTAAATTTATTTTTATTTCCTTTAAGATAAGAGATTATTGGAGTGTGTATTTTTCACATCATGGATTTCTTTTTTTCTTTTGAGAGAGAGAAAGCAAGAAGGGGAGGGGCAGAGGGGGAGAGAGAATCTCAAGCAGCCTCCGTGCCCATGCAGAGCCCAATGTGGGGCTTGACCTCACGACCCTGAGATCACGATCTGACCAGAAATCAAGAGTCAAGGATGCTTAACTGATGAGCCATCCAGGTGGCCAACATCATGGATTTTTTAAGTATTGTTTCCTAATACCGCATTTGGTTTGTGAGTATGACTTGTATGACACCAATTTCCTGAATTTGTGGAAATGTTAGAAGAAAGAAATTAAAAACAAAAACAAGTCATTTAGCTTTAGTTTAGAATAAAAGAGGATTTATCAGCAAGAATGCTAAGCTTTGGCAGGAAATGATTTCAAAATCTCAAATTACTTTACCAGGCTAGTTCTTATCCTCTTCAGTTAGAAAATGAGAAAGAATTGGGTAATATTTATTTTCTGGTGATCTCAGGAACACAGGAAACAGAGTCAAAGAGGTGGGTAAGGTCTTATTTACATTTATGCATTCTCTTGCTATGAAGAATCAAGAAGTCATGAGTTTTTGAATTAAGAGCAGGTTCTTTCTGAGCTATTCAGTACAGAGTTCTTGGGATTTCATTCATTGCCAAAATACAGAGTTTCTGTTTATTCATTTCAAAATATCTAAAACATGGTATTGTATTCCATAGATAATAGTTGTAGGAAATGGAAATTCGTTCTTACTTACGTTGATGGATTGTGTTGATAACCATATGGTTGATAACCATATCTCCATATCTAAATTGTGCAGGCTTTTCAGCCCTGGGCATCTAGTTTTTCTCCTTGCTAGCTGTGCAAGTAATAAAACAATATGGCTCTAGTAAATTCTAACAAATGCAATAGTGAATTTTCTTCCAGTTCCTTGGTTGCCAGTGGTCAATATTTTTAAATATTCCAAGCAAGTGAAGAGAATGGATATTTTCTTTTTTTTTTTTTTAAGATTTTATTTATTTATTTGACAGAGACACAGCGAGAACACAAGCAGGGGGAGTGGGAGAGGGAGAAGCAGACTCCCCGCTGAGCAGGGAGCCCGACGTGGGGCTTGATCCCAGGACCCTGGGATCACGACCTGAGCTGAAGGTAGACGCTTAATGACTGAGCCACTCAGGCGCCCCAGAGAATGGATATTTTCTATTTGTTAAATTCAAATTGTTGATTGATACATTCCTACCATGTTTCTAGTTTATTAGGTCTGAGATGGGCTCAAGAATTTGCAGTTTGGAATGAATTTCAAGTGATGCTGATGTGGGTTTGGTGACCACACTTGAAAATCATGCATTATGGTTTTTAATTTTCTTTTGCAGTTTCTTGTCAAAAGAGTTCTCGTTTTTTAACACTGCTAAATATTTATTAATTATTTTTATATCCTTTC